ACAAGTCATTTTCATTTATTGTCTTTTCACATATATTTATTTCATTTTTCTGTCCATGATTTTGAATGTGTTTTTACAGAAATTGTTGTGCCCTGCATGTGTTTAAATGAAAAAATCATGTAATGTCCATTAAGATAAATTTCATTTTCTTTTCTTCATTATGAAAACAAAGGAATCGAAATGAAATGATTTATGAAATTTTGTACAGAGATGTAAAAAAAATAAAATATCTAAACCATGTCATACATTTATACTTTTTATATTTCCAAAAATTGGGACAGTACATTTAAGGGCCACATACAGTATATCTTACTCAAGATGTTTTCTTCTTTTAGACTATTGAAATAGAAACTTTAAGAAATGAAGGAAAGGTCTTAAACTTTCATGCTACACTACAAAAATTGATGTATAAAGATTTTTTTCTCTGGGCACATGATTTAATTAGATACCTCATGGTACACATTCCTTATATACTACAGATACTTCATACTTTATCAAAATGTAACCAATGGACTTTCTGTATTTACACCACATTATGTTCCAATAGAAATCTTTATTGGGTCCAATCTTATCAATTTAGCCTTGTTTCCATTTTCAGAGTCCAAAACGTTAATATCAAATCCATATCACACCCCAAGTATAGCATAGTTGTCATTTCCACAAACCAAAAAAGTCCATATCAAATCCATATCATACCCCATATAGCCTTGTTTTCATTTCCTGACAGTCCAAAAGGTTCATATAAAAACCATATTGCACCAATTTGTCAGTTTTCATTTTTTTTGAGAGGCCAAAAGCCATATTAAGTCTTAGTTGTAATCAAAGTAACAATGTTCTGTCAAAATGTCAAAAGTGGTGGTGTGAAATAAAGAGGTCATTAAACATGAAGACAATACTGATTCTATTGGACTTGTACACAGCTGCAAAAGCTATATCAGACTTGGCTAGAGCCTCTTCCAATATAGTTTTAAGAGCTGTGTACTCATCCAATAGAATTCAGTATTGTACACATATAGAAACCTCTTATTAATATACTGATACTCAGGTAAATAGCATGGGTAACCAAGGATATCATGATATTTCAGATATCTGTGTTCATACTGGATATTATTTTTTTTTGGTTACTTACTTGTAACGGGTACATTTGAACAGCTTGCAAAATCCTGAATAGTATACATGAAGTTAATACAACTTATTTTTCAAGTTCATGGGATACTTTAAAGCTGGAATGTTTTGATGTTATTCATGTAAAGACTAGTTTAATAATAATTTCTTAATTTTGCTTTTAAAGTTTTACATAAGGTGTTTAAATTGATTTTTTGCAGGATCTTGCATAAATTGTAAGTATAGTCAGTGGTGCATGCCCCTTTTACAGTATGCTATAATCCTGGTTTTGGAATACAATGTACCTTTAGTTTTTTCTTGGCTTTGGTGTTTTGGACTAGATCAATTGGCATCAATATTTGCTAGTGATTATTATCCGGTAACTTTTATTATTAAAGCAAATATCATCCTTTGAAAATTTTGCACTTAAGTACTTTTGTTATGTTTTCTTTGTTAAAAAGTCATCCATCTGTTCAGATATATGTCGTTCTATCACCAGGTTCAGTTCTGTTTTGAAATGATTAAGTTGATTTACTAGATGGAGAATGTTAAAGTGATGAGTTCAACTGTATAACTTAATAATTTTGCTTAAGGAATAAGTGTACTTACTCTAAACGTGGCATGTGTGTTGCTCATATGATTGCCTGAAATATTATCTTGAGTTGAGGTTAAGGTCACTATGGCAAAAAAAATGAAAATATTTCTGTTTAATATCTTATAAGTTGATATAGCTAGCTGTGAGCTGTTGGCATGGGATGTAGTGTATATGTTATTTATGTTTGATTTTATTTAATCACCTTTAGAAGAAGAGGGGACATATTGCTTTGCAGCATGATATTGGTCCGTCTGTCCGTCCCACATTGTACCCGATCAATTACATAAGTCCATTACCCTACAACTTCATTGTTGTATAATTGGTTTTGGGAAGGGATTGCTTGCAATACTATGATAATTGCTTGTTTTGTTTTTGTAACAGCTTAGATTATTGGAAGTCTAAATCAATCCTACACGGAACTACATTTTCCGTTTTTCGAAAAAAAAATACAATTTAAATGAATAACAATACAAAAACATAAACAACACTTACAATTATCCGTTTTAATCGGCCTTCCGCTCTATCTCGGAAATGCCGTTCGCTCGTTTTACCGTACACCACAATCTTGAAGTGGAGCGACAGTGTGCCGGGCTTGACTCAGCACTCAAACTTCACAGTTGCATTGGTCTAGCCAGAACATGACCCTTCCTGGTTTTCAGGGTTGCATGATTTAAGTTTAAGGTCGCATTGACCTTTTATGTCCTAACTGTTTCCGACCAATAACTCGACACACGGGCCTTTGACCAGCAAACATTGGTGCATCGGTTTTGGCCTGTAGATAAGAGGGACAAAGGTCAAGGTCACATTTATCTTGACTGTCAAAACGTTTTTTCACCAGTAACTTGACAACCAATGGGTCGTTGTTGCTTCAACTTCACAGGTGCTTTGGATTTTGGCAGTAGAGGTCAAGATCACTTGACCTTGTATGCCGAAACGGTACCCGAGCAACATTGCATGCAACATCTGACGTGTTGACGAGGACATGCATATTTCTACGAAACGTACCTTGTTTATGTATATTTTGTGTCTAAGGACAAGATCAAGGTCACTACATGGCTTAAGTTAAGTTTCAATTGTATTACTTCTTTCGGATTAAGATCTATTTGTTTGAAACTTGTTCCATAGCTTATGCTGAATTGTAGCTAAATATAGCTCTTACAACATTTAGGTCAAGGTCACAATCGCGAAAATAGAAAAAATAGTACAATGAATTAAGAGATAAATGAAATGTTGGTATGATTTATGTTTAATGTCATTTATATCAAGTTATCTTTTGGTGTTTCTCAAGGCTATTGGATCAAAGTTGCAGTGATTGAAGTAGAAAACGGGTTTCCACAAAATACTTGGTTATGTGGGGTTATCTTTATCAGTATTTTGCTATTTAATTTTGTAACTCCCTAGGTTAGCCAAAATCGTCTTTCCTGTTTTGGCGCAATATCACCTAAACTGTGAAGGTGCGCCGTAAAACCAAAATAAAACTAAGCTAAACATTGTTAATATTTAGCTTCTGTTTGCTTTTTGATTTCAAAGCTTCTTCTGGGGTCAATGTCACTGTTGCTATTTGTTTTCTTTGCTCTTTGGCTCGGTATGGGTTTTGATTATCACATTTTCAGATAATGTCCTGTAAACATGCGGATAACTGGACATATAGGTGCGAATATAATGTAACAAATAGTTCATTGTGCTTGTTTCGTTTCCCTCTTTGCTTCACACCGTAGAAGTCAATACAGTTTAATTCATATTCAATCTATTTCACACAGTCAAATATATGAATTTCTTGATTTAATTTCTGGTATGCACCAGGTTGAAGAACTCTCTGCACCAGGTTGAAGAACTCTCAACACTTTTGTCGTAAATTGGTATCCATAAAAGCCTGTACGTAAAATCAAGGAAGTTTACAAAAGATACCAAATTTGATATTAGGTATTTTGCTTGCCTATTTTGCATTTTCCCGCACGGGTTGGGTTTTCAGAGAAAAAAAAATTTTTCTCGCTCTATCGAAAGTAAAGACAGCGATGAAACATGTCTACATTACTTTAAACAGGTTTTCAAATCTTCTATATAGATATAGGCGACAGTGACTACTGTCTTGGAAACCTGTAATTTATTGACAAAAGGCTTTGTTCTATTCATGACACTGCTTTTAAAGTTATTTTACTAACATGAAGAAATGTCACCGATATGCAGTTTTGCAAGAATGTCTAACAACAGTTAAACCTATGTATTCGAAAAAGGCCTAAAGGTATGGTAAACATTTTATTGCCCAATGACAGTGCTTCGTCGTACAGGACTCTTAAGTGAAAAATGAACAACGAGCTAAAGATAAGACCAATTCTGAAGAACTTGCCTGCGAATAATTCTTTGTTTGAATAACAAATTCTTTGTCTTTTGAAGCTTACATAAGTAGTTTGCTCGGTGGATTTCTAGTGTCATAATGGTATACTGGTATGAATTAAAGACGAGTAAAAACGTACTTTGTGGTTGGATTTTAAGGTTCTAACTTTGTGTACAGGCCAAACGAGAACACTTTGTTGTGAATATATGGTACATGTATATGATTCATTGTAAGTTGTCAAGTAAACGGTTTTCAGGGTAAGTTGCATTAATTCTAAAACACCACTCGTACTTCGACTTGTCTGTTGCCGGTATTTATTCGATTCTACAATATTAATGAAAAGTTCGCTTATCCCATTGCTTGCTTGATTCCAAATAAAACTTTTGCTAGACAATCATTTTCGATATGAAAATGTCAGTATTTTTAAGTATACTATGTTAAAAGGAAGTGATAATTTGGCGATCTGTATATGTTTGAAAATATCAGCATTTAAGATGTTTTAAATATTAAGCATAGACAATGGTTTGATAAAAAAAAAGTATGCCGTTTTTGCAAGAGATGCTCGTTTTTACTAAAAAAGCAAATCGACGATCAGCATTTTCATTAAATTCGTTACGTTATAGACGTTCTTAGCTTGATGCCATAGTGTTTTTCATTTCGTCAGTTAAAATATAAGTCAAATAAGTGCGTGTTTAAGCAAGCCACCAGCTTGCGAAATATCGATGTTTTATCTTTAATACGTCAATAGGACTTAAACATCTTTAAAATAACAAAAAAGTAAACACAAACGTTAAAAAGTTGAAGAAATAGTTCCAATCATACAAAAATTTTCCAAAAGAAAAAGAAGTTTTTCAGAATTAATAATCAGGAATATTTTAAAATTATATCATGTTGACCCTTTTTTTAACAAAATCCAAAATTTGTCGAACTTCACTAATGTCTTAAAATAGATACCATTTATTCACATTTCCTAAACTTTCGCTATTTGCAGTAACAGCGGGTTCTCGATGCAACATTTTTGTTTCATTCATTCATTCGTCGTCATCGTCGTCATCCCATTCTAGTAGATGTTTCTTTAGTCCAAACCCGGAAATGACGGAAGTAACCATGCACGTGATCCCACCAAGTAAAGACAGCGAAAACGGATATTTTACGGAACCTGTTCCATCTAAACCCTCGTTCAGTTTTGATTGAAATCCAAGGAATATAAACACACCGACGGCAATAAAGACAGCTGAAATATACACAAAAGATTCGTGTTTAGAACAATTTCAATAAACGACTGAAATGCATAGACCCCTTAAAAAAGCTAATATTTTTCATTTAACCTTATTTTTAAACTTCTTGAATTCCCTTAAAAATTTTTAAAATCAGGAATAAATAAAGGAAAAACAATGTTTTGAAATTAAAAGTTAAAAAGTCTCATATTTTAAATATTTACTCTCGCCCGAAAACCCAAAATTTTTCCTGGGTTGCCCGGGCAGCGAAAAATTTCACCTAGGGCTTTAAAGGGTTTCACTATATATAATACACTGTTTAAAATAATCAATGCCCATGAAAAAAATTGTTTTTATCAGAAATTTTGGGGCCAAATTATATTTTATAGAATTTTTTGAAACGAAAGCTTTAAATTATAGGTAAAATTATTTTTTGAATCTTTAGGTAGGAAAAGGGAATAGTTTAGTTGTAAAATTTTAATTGCTTTAAATTAGAAAATAAAAAAATTTTCAAACCCCTCAAAAATATTAATTGAAATGAAATATTTTTACATTATATTAATAAATAAAAATGACCATTTTCCTTTTAAAATTTTTAGAATTAATAAATTTAATATTTTAATTCCCCCCCTTATTTACCCGAACATGTAAATTGGTATTTTTTTTGCTTTTTTGGGAACACAAATATTGAACAAACAATTGGCACCTAATTTCATGAAATAAAACCAAATGATAATGTTTAACAGGATCGTTAAAAAGTTAAAAAATTTAACGTTTCAAAAGGTTGTTTGGTAATTTGAACCAATCAATTATTGAAATTTAGTCAGTCAATTTTAAGAAAGGCGTATTGGTAAGCAGGCCAGTTGTGGAAAACTTATTCAACGAATGCGATAATTGTGCGAAAAATGATCAAAAGTAAATTCTGAAATATTTGTTCGGTTTGAAAAGTGTCTTCGAATACAAATATTCAAACAAGACGTGAATCTCAACATTATACAATTTATCGGGCGCCATTGTTAAGATTGAGGATTTGGTTAGAATAACTTCATCGTACGTATGCCGTACTTTATAAATGACAATGAAATATCATTCTTTCGGTTTCTCTTCGACCATTGTACTAATTTGAAGACATCTTGTGGTAAGATGACAACAATGGTTGCCGCAATGTGTTTTAATTGGTTCTTATGACGGGAAGGATGGTTTTATTTGAGGTTTGAGAGTTTTCGAGTTTAACTTGAACTCATTTGCCAGTCTAGTTTCCTTGATAATTGTTATCTAGAATATAGAATTGAAACAGGTTTTTTCCCTCTTGTGGCTGAGTGGTTGCCTTTAAGGGTTATTAACACATCAGAACTGCAGCCAACGTTTATCGATTCCTGTGTGATCGTAAGAGACTGGTTCAAATAACCGAAGTCTATGAATATCTAGCTCTGATGTTGCTTTGTACCACCCGAGGTTAACCAAAATCATTTTTCCTGTTTCGGCGCCATATGACCTTAATTATGTTGGTGAGCCGTAAAAACCAAACTTAACTAAACTAAATGACACAACTTCATATTCAAAGATTTGCTACGCAGTAAAGAAAAATCGTATCAATAACAACGCATCATAAGTGAAAGTTACAAAAACAATTATACCTGCAGCACCGTGTATGTAAATGAGAGCCGTATGTATCGGTCTCCGTCTCACGGTAACCGTAAGGATAGCCAGTACCAGCGCCAGCCACACAAATATTTCACCGAAGACTTCAAACACCCTGACTGCAAATATCCATTCTGAAATAAAATAAATGTCATTTATAGAGCACTTTAGTACAACCCGCTTATAGTTATTTGACACATTTTGTTGTGTACATATTACAAAGAAAACTGAAAACAATGCATGGATTATTTACCAGTCTGAAAAGAAAGCAGAGCATATTCTTTTTCATATAATGTACTTAAACACGCGACAGGCTTTAAACAAGACACACGACTTATCATTTGGTTCGATGTAAAACTGGAAAATCAACATACGTATATATATTTTATAGCTAAATAAAATCTTTAATATCATTGTGGCTAATTTCTTTTCTTAAACACAAGTTATCATTTCGGTAATTATACACCACTTTGCTTTTCTGTTAATTTATTATGTAGCTTCATAGCCAATCAGAAACTGTCCTGCTTACACGTGATCATTATCGACCAATCAGCGTACAGCTTCTTCATAACAAAGAAATTTTTCAGAACGTTCTTGCGTGTTTCATATTGCTAGACATATTCCTGCTTTTTGACTAATTTTGTTACCCACCACCTCCTCTTCCACCTCCTCGTTAATTTATTGTAACACATGTTTCTGTTTGGCTATTATTTTGAACTTTTTTATTGTTTTTTCTATGTGTCTTTTATTTTGTATTTCATATTGTTATTGTAATGGCGGAATTTTTTCAGCCAGATATGGGGATATCTTTTGCTTAATAGATATCTGTTCTAATTGCATAATAACTTTTGCCCATTTTCAACTTCATATAATTATTGTAGTTGTTTTTATTGATCTCCCCATACTAGTACACAGTTTTTCCTGCTTATCGGCCAACAGATGCACATAAATAATTGTCTTATTACGTGCTGTACATGTACTTATGCACAGTAGAATCTGGCAATATTAAAATATAGAGTGTTAAAACACAAAAGTCTGAAGATTGTGATGTTCTATGACGTTATATATATACGTGCTGAGGACATAACTGAATTCTGTTGGACGAGTACACAGCTGTTAAATTTATATTGGCCGAGGCGCCACCTGAGTCCATAATAGGGTTTGCATCTCCGTACCAGTCCAAATATAACTTGTATGGTACTTGTAAAATGACCTCTTTATTTCACATCATCAAGAAAAACATTAAGTTAAACAATACACTTGAAATCAACAGTGTTCTTTTTATATCAAGGTTACTTCGAGTGCAGTATGGATTTAATATGGCTTTTTTAATAAAAAAAATGAAAACGAGACTTTATGAAGTACAATATGCATTTGATGCGGATTTTTGGACTCTGGAAATGAACAGTGCTTAATTGAGAAGATTATAAAAAAAATGATAATGATCTTTTTTGAACATCACTGGTGCAAATGACGGAGGTTCATAAGAATAATTGAAGTTGCTCAAAATGTTCTATAAAACGACTTTGTGTGGTATGTATAAGAGCACAAAACAACAATCGGGCATTGTATGGACCATATCTATGATTTCAAGTATTCAATGTATCGTATGTACTTGAAAACAATCTTAACATAGATGTATTGTTCTGACAAAGTAACCAACATTTTTGGGGGTGTTTATTTCTTGTGCTAAGGTATTTAAATATTCAAAAGTATTTTAAGGTAGACAAAAAATAAAAAAATTGAGAAGAAAATGCCTTTAATTCGGCCAATTTTTAATTGCATTTGTAAAGCGTTTCGTTTGAATAAACTGAACATAAATGCGTAATTTTTCGTAAGGAAATGATAATCCAAGGTAGGTTTTTTTTCTCGGAATGGAGTTAGACTTTTATTAAAGCAATGGTGCACGTGCATATTGTATGCATATTAGACATTCAGTTTTAGATCCAAACCTGTGTGTAGAATACATAAAAATATATTTTAACTTCAATAAATTTGCTGATGAAAGCATGTACCCATGATATTCAATCTATTAGGAACCTAAATATCGTCTATGACTTTATATAGATGTAATAAAACCAGAGATGTAGATAACATGTTATCTATGTCTCTGATAAAACTCATGTCCCTTTTCTTGCAGATAAATTTAAAAATATGAAGGACATCTTAGAAAATCCGTATTTGAATAATAAAAATTAAACCTCTTCCTCCGTCAATGTCAAGGACGCTTCTATCGACGCACCAGATTTGACAAATCCTCAATTCCGTCATTCCATACTCACTGGTACCCACTTCATTCTCATTCTTCCACCAGGCACCAGCAAAGAACCCAACGTTTTGAAAAATGAACGCAACGATCGTCAACACAACTGATACTATGTCGAGCGTTATCACTTTAAACTTATTAACCATTTTGTCGTTTATGTATAGTGTATCAACCAAGATTTTTTTTGTCGATTCTTCACTTTTGTAAATGAACAGTTGAGTGAAATGTGAAAGAGAAAAAACGAGATCCAAATAAAAATTTCAAAAAAGTTCTAGTTAATCCTAGTCAATGCAACCGTTTTTTTTTTACTTTTCTGCATAAAGATCAAAATGCATTTTTTTCAGTATCCATTCTAACATCAGTGTACGGTAGCCGTCTGCATCAAGACGCACAGTACACAAACTTTAAAGCGGATAAAACACATTTCGTTTGAATGACTTATTGTTATTTGATATAGATCAGAAACCTATCTTCAGCTACCGAACAGGAAGTAATTCATTGTCAGCGGAAATGACCAACTTTAAAGAAGATTAAAGAAGACAGAACGCGTAGAAAAATGTGATAATAATATGAGTGTCACTTCCGGTATGTGTACATTTGTATATGACAATGTCAACGACATTGTAAAACTATTTGCTGAAAATCTTGTATACGATATCATGATAATATGAGAGTTTATTGTCAAAAAGGTACCCCATCCATTGATTGATTATACTTGTTTTACTGTTGACAATTTTTCATAGACTTTACTAAATAACAATTAAAAAAGCGCTCAGCCGACAGGTTTTTTGTTACTCATAGTCATGTAGGTGCACAATCGGAACACTTTGGCTATTATTTATAATAGTCCGACGGAAAAGGCCGAAAAATTGCGATTGTATCTCGCAGCGGAGTTTACGAATTCATGTTTTGAAGAAACTTTTTGAAAATCAAATGAATAATGCACACGTCATTAATATCGATATAAAAGATGTAATCAATTAAGGAGAATCTTGCATGATTTGATCAAATTGAATAGGTTAATGACTAGTCTGGGTCCCTCCGGAAGTATAACGTAGTGTTAAAGGAAGGAACTCCAAACTTGCTTTTAGCTAAAAGTTACTGTAATACCTTTCACTATCTACATAGCTTAGTGTAACCTTTACTATTTGTGTACATGGAACGTGTGTCCTTGGCTTGGCGGAAAGGGAGAGAGGATTTCCGAATTGGTCTAACGATGGATGCGTACCTTAAAGAGAAGTTGTTTTAAGGTTAATCTCATTGAAACATGTTTAAGCCTCGCCCACTCTGCATGTTATACATGCATTTGTTTGATAACAAACACAATTGCTTCCGGATCCATTTCCCACATTTTTGTTCAATATATAGGCAACATGATTCACTTATAAACTCTACATTTACTGTCAATTTTTTGCAAGTCATAATTGTGGCTCTGCCCGCCGTTTATTTTTTTTTTTTTTAGAAATATACACCATTTTAAGCACATGATAGCTTTTTGCTATGCAAGTAACGGACATATACCATGCATATCCTTAAAGAGTCCAAGACCGCCGAGTTTTAAAAAAATCAATCTAAGTAATTTCTATAGACAATTCGTTTCATATTTGAGGCCAGGAAAATATTACTGTGTATGGCTTAATCAGTCCGAACGGACTGTGAGAAAAGTACAAGAGTCAATCTCCAAGGCTCTCCATGGCAAGGGGCGAGCTTTATCGATTGCCACGTCACGTGTTGTCTATGCTCCATGCCAAGGGGCGAGCTTTATCGATTGCCACGTCACATGTTGTCTATAGTCCATGCCAAGGGGCAAGCTTTATCGATTGCCACGTCACGTGTTGTCTATGCTCCATACCAAGGGGCGAGCTTTATCGATTGCCACGTCACGTGTTGTCTATGCTCCATACCAAGGGGCGAGCTTTATCGATTGCCACGTCACGTGTTGTCTATGCTCCATGCCAAGGGGCGAGCTTTATCGATTGCCACGTCACGTGTTGTCTATAGTCCATGCCAAGGGGCAAGCTTTATCGATTGCCACGTCACGTGTTGTCTGTGACATCATATGATCGGACCGATGACCCGTGTCATGCATAAAGGTATATAACTAGATTGAAGCAAATTGATAAATTTTTAAAATGGTTCTGCCGAGTGATTTTACAAAATATGCGGCATGAGTACACAACTCGTGCACGACTGTTCATTACCCTTGGGTTCTCATAGAAAAGGGAGACAAACGCTATCTTTACTGACTTTGTGATTATTATGCTTGATTGTCTACCTTGATTCGGATTTCATGTTGAAAGAGTTTTATTATAGAGAGATCATTCATCTAAACATGATAGTTTCTTTTAACAATATCTAAATTGGTCGCGAAATATAAGATTAGAATGTAAACTTTGTAAATTGATAGTTGATATTATACAGTTGTTTAAACGTATTTTCATAACTTACGTCAAATGAAAAGTGAGCATTTTCAAATATACTTTAAAGGGTATTCAAATAGGCTAGAATCACTGTCAACTGCATTGAAACCGAGAGGCTTGGGTTCAGACCTATTTCTTTATTTTTAACATTATTTATGTATCTCTCAAACCCCTTATGGAAAGAAAAAAGTGTTTGATTTTAAAAATATAATTTTTCTAATTATTTATTTGCTAAATAATCCCAAATTTAATAGCAAATATGATACCAGATATTTTCAAAGTTTAATAAAATAAAAACAACACGGTAAAACTATTTTATATTTTGCAAGATCAACCAATCATTGTGGTAAATTTTAGGGATACAAAGGTATTTTGAAAAAGCCTTTTACATAGGGAAATGGTCAAATAAATGCTTAAAGTGGTTGGGGTTTGATAACATTTTAATACATATTAACACATTTTGATTAGAAACAATCATTTTGCTCGTGTAATTTGTTACCTGAATGTTATTATTTGTTTCTTAACAATGAGCAATAGGAAAACTTTTTATGGTAGTATCATAGATTATTTAGAGTTTCCTCATTATTGAAATAGAGCCCTTCTAATAGCAAAGTTTTAGTTCCGAAAAATGTTCATAACTTATTAACCATACGGTAAATGTTGTTTAAATATTGCATACAGGTGACCTTTAAGGCACATAACTGTCCTTTGTTTTCAATTTTACAGTCCTTTATGGTGCCCATAAGCGGTGGTCTACCTTAAAAGGATACATTGTATATGACTTTAGACTAACAACTTATTACTTACAGCATACTCATATATTTATTTTTTTGTAAAATTAATATATTTCATTGCTGTTTTATCGTATTAATACAACCCTATTCTCAAGCAAAGGAACGTGCTTCCGTCACCAAAACTTCAAACGGAACATCCTCGGCTATTATTCATAATCCGAAGACTGACGGAAAGGGCCGAAAAGTTGCGAAGCAAGAAATCTTCTACTTACAACTTCCGGTTTACGAATGTACTGTACTTTTGCTATTTACTGCGCACCTTTACTTTAGTCATCTAGTATAAAATCCACGTAAACTATACAAACCCAGCATAAATAGCAGACGACAAAAATTTTCACACCAAAATCACATCGCATCTCCCGCTCCCTATTTCGCGAAACATTTTCTTTTATGCATATTCTGTAAATACGCTAAAAATCTTCCCAAGCCTGGTATTTTTATATGTTTTAACACCAATGTGAAAATTGCTCGCCATTTAAACTCAAACTTTAATGTCTGGCTCGGTTATCTAGCATCAGTAACACGTAGTTGCTAAAATGTTTGCTATTTTTTCGATTCATAAATTATGCACCTAACTGCTTTGGTCGACAAGACAAGCTGGGTATATCTATTTTTGGAGATGAGCGGATGAATACATTTCCTGTATTTTACGACCTGTGAAAACAATGGACATTTAAAAACGTCGCATATAATCACGTATTGCTTAAAATGCAAATTACGAAAATAGAACATTGTTATTTCCTATTAAAAATCTTCTGGGTTTGTTGCAACAGTGTCGAACAGCTGATTCAGGGGTTGGAAGTTCGACCCCTGTTAATTACATTATATTTTATTCACGAGACTGTTTTAACCGCGGTTCCGTGTCTGGGTGTTTATCTCTTGCTCGTAAAACAACTATTTTAGAAGACAATGTCTTGAAATATCCGCAATAAACAAATATCATGACGTCACTTATACTTTTCTAGAGGTGTCGTGTTGATATATATAAGATATAAACAGTCGCATATGAGTGCATATTGTCTTATATTAGTTAGTGTATGTCTCAAGTACTGAATACGTGAAAACCATGCACAATTCATATCAAGTTACATCTATGGGCGTAGATGATACTAATGTACCCCATAGCAGCTCTTAAACTGGACCGCATACTGGCCTTGTAATTCCAATCCTGCAATAGCTTTTAAAAATGTTGCTCCTACATCGAAGTATCCGATATTATCCGAGTGTACGGCCTCTAAGAATATAATATCAATTTAACACCATCTGCTAGACTAAATTTTAAAAATGGCCATATCTGGCAGTATGATAAAAATGACGTAAGTAAATCCGGACAGAATCGGAAATATGGGCTCGGTCCCGTGTTCTGATTATGTACCCCAGCGGGAAGTCGTGTCGCGTAAAGAAAAATATAACATTGCATCGCAATGTTTTGTTAACCATTGCACAATTGTACCACTTAGTCTGCTAGGGCAAAAAGTGATTAGCCTTTTGCAACCAGTATAGAGCCAGGCCAGCCTATAAATGCTTAACACTTGTGCCACAAATTAATTCTGGCTATTAAAACTGAACATTCCATTTGTAATTTAAGGGACTTGTTTTAGTAATCGAATACCCGAATTATGCAGCCGACAAAAGTTGGACTCGGCAGTGATATACAGGCTCTATATTAATAGTATGGAAAACAAAGTTTCTGCCGCACTTAAAGATTTAGCACTGTTTTCATTTACATTTCATTATGCCAATTAACTATTTCGGTGCGAAATGTTCAACATTTTGAGAATAAAAAAGAAACAATAACAACAACAAATTTCATTTTTCTCTAGTGTTCTAGTTTCCTTTAAAATGTTCACGTCGATTTCTTCACATCTTTAAAATTTGAAAATTGAAATAATTTTGTTGTTCATTGAAAATCACCCACATACGATTTTTTTTATGAAATAAAAAAAAACAGCTACATTTTTAACCTATTGCATTTTAACAAGCCCAAAGTTGATTCAACTCGTTCATTTCTCATTCAATGATCTAAGTTTTAATCAACCAACGAATGTATGGAGAAAAAATTTACAGACAGATAATCAAATACTTTCGAGCCTACATGCGAAACTTGTATAAACGTACATTTTATGATCTTCGCTTTTGATCACTATTATTTAATTTGCATAATTGAATCTGATAAGCATATTTGGTACATCAATTCATTAAAAAATCTACCCCTTGGAGATTTTGAAAACTTACTCGTGTAAGCTTATTGCATTGATATAGCACTACACGAACTGTTGGCTGAATGGAAGTAATTTTGGTCAGATTTCTATATTATTTTCAAAATGACGTTCCGCTAATTTGTCTTCACTTGTGAAATTTAATCTACCCGAAAATAAAAACAGCACGTCTTAAGCGCAGCGTTGAAATTTTGATTGGCATAACATATTAATCATGTATTTATACCTGTAAAATATGTCATATTTTAATCAGGCAATGCACCCTGTAGTTAAAAAGATCGGGTTTATACCTTTTGTTTTTATCGCTAGATGCACTCTGGGGATCGCCAATCTTGACGAAACCAATGTGAAGTAACATAAAGGGCTGAATAACTGTTGGTGTGGGGTTCATATCTTTATAATTGAAATAAATGTATTTTTGGGTAAAAACTTGAATGGTTTTCGGACAGTCAAATTGAGACATATTCATATTATCGTTTACGTTTATTTTATCTGTCATTTTATACTGATTCATCAACAGTTGTGGTTGTAGAAGTGGTTGAAATAAATATTATATTAAAAAGAAGAGGATCGGCTCATAATTCTAGGTCTCGAACTTTGAGTCACTTCAAATTACTAATTTCCGGACCCATGTCATTCAAGAGAATAAATAAGCCGTGTCATGACAAAACCAACGTAATGCGTTTGCGACCAGCAGGGATCCAGATTGGCCTGCGCATCCGCGCAGTCTGATCAGGATCCATGCTGTTCGTTATCAGTTTCTTTACATGTTATAGGGTCTGTAAGGATGCGCAGGCTGGTCTGGATCCATGCTGGTCGCAAACCCATTATGTTGGTTTTGTCATGACGCGGCTCAAATGTAAATGACATGTCGAAAGTCGGCAAGACATCGGCAACAACTCAAAAGCAAACCATTTCTTTCAATAATTAAAATAGGGGGGCATATGGTAATTAAAAAAGATATGCCCGTAGCCTACAAGTAAAAACTGTATAATAAGGCCCATTATGCTCAAGAAATGCTTTTTTTTCGGTTTACTTATATAGTTTTCATAATGATACTCATTGATCAATTACCTGAGCCGTCTTTTTCTCCTGTTGCCTTTTGACATTTATACTATTTTAGTGATTAAGTATTTTGTATTGAAGTCAAATTACTACTTTGTTTACATTTTTTTTCATTTTTGTGACAAATTATTTCACGTTTAGTGCTACTTCTTTTAGGTAACAAGCATCTAACATGCCCTAATACCATTATTTAAATGTTATAAAACTATTGTTTGCCCTTTCTAAGGAAGTATTAATTAAAGTGACTTATATAAGTGAACGAAAAAAATGTGTTCCTATACTTATCCTACACATTGGGCAGTGTAAGGGCTGTCGGATGAAAAGAGCCAATCAGCGTTGTTTTGGTAACCAAAGAGCGAATGATAGTTTCACCCTGTCCAACTGTTTCAACTGTCCCCGTTGAGCAGGGCTTTTACTGTCTGCTTGTCAGCCGTGAGTATGTAGCATCGACGGCACTGATTTTTGTTAATCTTTTCCTAGACAACACATTGACAACAAGTAGCCAATTCCACAAACGTAACTGTAAAAAAGAACACTGATTAGATATTGTGAGTACGGCGAGTTTATTTGCCAACGTTTATTCAGGAAATCGGAGCAACCATCCTAATAACAGTGATGTGTGTCTGGTGGGCTGAATAACGTATGTTGATTTAAAGTGCACGCTTTTGATCGATCTTTGTTGATGATCTAGTAAAATAAATGTGATGCTGAGTTTTAGCTACTTGAAGCTTGACCTTAACCCTTATCCTGCTGAATTTCTGACATGGACTCGTCCAGCTTTGAATTTGGAACAGTCCATTTAAAGTTTAAGGGTTTTTAATATCAAAATACAAAGACTGAGCTACCGGTAGTAAAGAGCCTTGTCAGACTGCACAAATGAGCAAGCTGGCATGAGTGTATGTGGCAAACAAAGGCCAATCACTTCCGGTTCCAAGACGTTATGTGTTGATTTTCCTTTTTTGAGGGTTGGGGGAGTAGAAGGGATTACGTCTCACAGGCACAGTACTGTTCATAGTGACTTTCCAGCTTTACTGGCGGAGGAAGACCTTAGGAGGCCCTTCATGCTTTATTTCAGGCACGAGCGGGTACCAAAATAGAACCACCGACGTTCCATAAGCTTGCTGGATAGCTCCCTCGCATAAAATAATCTAAATTCCCTGGCGGGATTCGAAAGTGGTTTAAAGTTAACGACCTTAACCTCTTGACCACGGACTCCCCTCGATATGTATTTGAGCCGCGTCACGACAAAACCAACGTAATGCGTTTACGACCAGCATGGATCCAGACCAGCCTGCGCATCCGCGCAGTCTGATCAGGATCTCCGCTGTTCGCTTGCAAACCCAATTACAAGTAGAGAAACTGATAGGGAACAGCATGGATCCTGACCAGACTGCGCGTAGGCGCAGGCTGGTCTGGATCCATGCTGGTCGCAAACCCACTATGTTGGTTTTGTCGTGACGCGGCTCATTTGTAAAACACAACGAACAAAAAAAAATAAGAAAAATAAGAACTATAAAAAAAAACCAACAAAAACACAAAAGCAACAATAACTAGAGTACTGTATGTATGAAGAATATATCAACTTTTTGCCATTGTGTTTAGAATCAATAATCACTAAGAATCCGAGATACCCTGAGGCTTTTTTAACACACTTTGTTTTAACTATTTGTCTCGATTTTTTTGTTTGATTTTAGAAAATTATTGCATGTGTGAAAACCTCTTGGTTGTTCTGTTCTGTTCTTTTAAGAATATACGCGCTAGAAAATAATGTACAGTTATTATATTAGTGTCTGACTTTCATTGAAACGAAACTTCTTTTTTCTTATTAAAAACAAAAAACAAAAACAGCAGTACTTAAAAAAATCAATACCCATCTGAAATCATGATTATTTCTAATTCAAACAAAAATCTCTTCATTTAACCATGCAGGGTTAATAAACGAACTACTTTCATTGTTTTCAGCGCATTAATTTCTTTGATATGATCGGATCACTTTATAGATAATATCAGCTATTTAAAATATTTATTCAAAATATGTAAACAAATTTTAGATTGAATACATCACTTCGTTTATTGAACTTGACCTAGGTCGAAACGAAGAGGAAAAAATCAGTGATGGTATAGTATAGCCATTACAACATGGCATTATACTTATTGTATTAACGGCACGATAAACATTTTACAAAATATCCTATTTCACTTTCAATGCTAACAAAATCTGACATAATAATTTCAAATGTTTGAAATAACTTAATTTAGTACGCTTAATTGATTTCTTTACATCCAATAAACAATAACCTCTCTTTATTGTGTTTATTTGCCCCCCTTTTTCATAAAAAGCAAACGACTGATGCCCCGATAACTTCTGCTTGATTAAATTCTTTTCACTAAAGTTTAGAGCGACAAAATTTGGGGCTGCACTCGATTTTGTATTCGGTAATTAGAAGTTGAACTTAATTGAAAGCGAACTTGCCTACAATAGGCTGTATTTGTATATAAAGTATGTAAGTGTTAGGGTATTATTTTTTTTTTTGGTTTATGAAATTTCAGAATAACTGAAGTTTCGTGTGGGATGATTACATCAATTGTTATAATTCTAGTTTTAATTATCTTTATAGAATTTTGTATTTTAAATACTCGTAAGTATAAAGTATTTAGTATTAAATTGTAGGGCAAATTTAGGACATTTGTCACAGTTTAAAATACAAAAACAATATCAACTAGGAAGGGCACTGGCATTTTATGAACACACCCTAACCACACCCAACCCCAACATAGGATAACCGACAAAGAGTCCAACATGACATAAAACAGAGCAGGGCACATTTTTAATAACATGTCTATTTCATAATAAATGATAGAAAGTAATACAACTCGATACAAATGTATATTGTATGTAGATAAATATACAGTAGAGTTTTCAAAAATTATCCTTACAGTCTCAAAAGAGAGATCTTACAATATTCAAAAATAACTAAACAGATCGATAGATAGATACTTTTAAAAACTTTGGAAAGTAACGTCACGTTGACATATATAAGACAGCTGCTTTAAAATGGCATGCGATACGCAATAAATAAAACGAGAAACTGCCTTTTGATTTACGGAACAGATTTGACGATCCAAGTCTTTAAAAATCGAAACTTTAATAGTGACTTATAATCATGAGTAGGAAAGAAATATCGCTGGTAAAAATACTTCGAAACTAGGCTGGTAGCTAAGTTGGAAAATATGTAGTCTGTCGCAACGCTTTAGCGCGCATCTTTGTCACCTATGAGTTAAGAAAAGTGGACATTTATAGCATTTAAGGGGACATTAATGTGAAATGCAAGGCTCTGCCGAAGTTCCGCAGTCTTTTTTGGCCTATTCAAAAGTGACGATAGCATAAGTATTTATGATCCAAAAATTACAAGTACAGTATTACTAGAGCTTTGAAAAAATGTGATTCATTATTTGATATGACAGAACAAAGAGCTCGCGCATGTCAATCAGAAAGTTTGCGTAAAATATCAATACTTTTTCTATGCGGAAAATGACTATTTAAATTTTCCTCGACCAATAATTTTTGCACAAATTGAAATAAAATTTTTGGAGTAATTAAAAATCGCGCAGTGCAATGTTAAAGCGCTCAACACAACCATTCTCTTCTGGATAGTGCGTGAGATATCCTAAACACGGAATTTATGTTATTTAAATGGAAGTATTCACATTCTATGAAAATTATTGCCGACTGGTTTTAACATGATTTGGTTGAATAGGGGACCCTTTCATCATAGCTGTCGGTAGCCTGTATTATAATGGACCTTACGATAGTACTTTTCACGTTTGCAGGTATGCCATTATCACTTTTATCAGGGTTTATTTATGACCTTACATTTTATCTTTAAGAAAAATCTCCGAAAAGAGAAAGAAGTTGGATTAATAAGTTATGTTTATACTTTTATAAAATCGTTAAATTAGTATTATATTTTTCTCTCTCTTTAACATGTTTTTTTTTTAATGTAGTAAGTAATAACAACAATTTGAAAAGAGTTTATTTTGTTGTTTTATTCAATATTTATTACAAAGCTGATACATTATATACTTATATTTTAACATATTTGCTTTAATTTGTGAATTTTAAATATATCGGTAAAAATAAGAATTTTGTATAGTTTTAATCATAATTGTTTCAATTGAAGATATAGTGTATTAATTGAATTAAAGTTGATTCTAGTATATCGACTAATTTAAGGGTTTAATTTCAAGGAAAGAAAATTGTATATAATTTTTTCTGTTCAAATATTTGTAAATAGTGAATAAAATCATAAAAATAACATTGTTTTAAAAAAGTGATAAACTTATGAACTGAAACAAAATTTACTCCAGTTAATTATATGAAATGAAGTTTAGATGTTTGACTTTTAATTAATTGTATTCATTTTTTTCTGTACAAATCTATGTAAATAGTGAATAAAATTTTGTCTGATATTTACCGAATGATGTAAACATTCGGATTAATGCGCGTGATATTTAAATTTCATGATAATCGTTAACCTTTAATTCGCTATAACTCAAGAAATAAAATTCTCAAATCATGTTTTATTTAAAATACAATTTGTTTATAAAATAATGATTCAAAATCAAAATTTGCGTTTAATATATGACATCGTGTTTCTGAAACTTGTACCTTATGATTGTACATTTATTGAGTTTAAAATTGAATATTACAACTAATAGTTTGTGAAGAACACAATATATATCATTTTGTAATATGACTATTGTCCATTTGAAAACAAAAATCTGACCGTTTTGGTCAGGTACACAAAAGGGGTTTAACTCAAAGGTATAGCAAATGTCATGGTTTATAAAACGTATTTATTAATGACAAACAACAAAGTTTTATGTTAAAAAAGAATGATATAAATGTATTTGATTCAACAAATTAATCCGTGTAATTCAAACTCCTGATTGATTCACAAAACATTGACAAATATTTCGAAAATAATACATTTCGTAATACGACTAAATCTTATTTCAAAAACATTTACAAGTTCTGTTATCTTAAATACCTTATCCAAAGGTCATTTTTGCTATGTTATTAGCCGAATCTAGCCGTCAGCCCATTATTTTATATACATCAAGAACACATATACGTGCGCCATACGTCGAATCGGTGGATGTTTGATATTTTGTTAATGCAACGACATGCTCTTCTAAATGAGATGTATTAAATTAAAATTACACTTTAAAGAATATTTATTCCGAACGGTAAGTTTGTTGCATAAGCGCAGAGACGATGTCCCTATCTTTTCTCTTTTTTCTTTTTATAAATATTTAACTTTTAAGTTTTAACCTTATGTCTGACGCCCACTACGTGTTTAATAATGCATTTGTATTATGAAATTGCACCAAATTGTATTTAAGAAACTAAAGAATGCATGCGACTTTAATTAAATAGTCTACGACGGCAAGAAATAATGAAGACAGTAATCATATTTAATACACTATTAGGTCCCTGAATTCATATTATTCGTTAATATGTGAAATAATATTTCTCAAGAAAAATATATAAAAAGTTAAATTTACATCTGCAATACGCTGATGGATATATTTGTAATGATTAAAATAGAAAATATGATGAAAGTCATAATGCATAGCTGGAAATTTAGTCAAAGTCATTTTATAATCATATCAATCACACGTATTTGGTACTAGTATTCTAATTGATAAAAAATTATATTTTTGCAATAATTGAAATAAAGTGAACAATAGAAATCATTTCTAATTTATCATATGTAATGTTTTATATGCAAAGAATTAATTCTTGTATTACTAGTATTTAAATCGTGCTATTTGAACAGTCTGAGAAAAATTATGAAATGTTCAGTCCTATCTAACATGTCATTTATCTGTTAATGTTAAAGTGTGATCCCTCGGAAGCATTATTTACAAAAAAATTACACGAAAATTGCAGACATGGTTTGATTGAGTCTGTACATGTACATGAGGGATAATGAAAAAGTGTAACTTCCTCCACGCTCCTTAGCACCGTAAACCTGTCTGCAGATGTTTCTAAGGTGTTCAATTTATTTCAAAATCAACAAATTTGGAGAGTTGATTCCTACTTTAAATGGTGATTGGGGGTGGGGTCGGGTGAAGAACGGTAGTATGCATTGAACACTGTCGTTCATTAAGAGGCCGAGTCAAACCAAACCTTCACCTTCTTCATTAAAACCATGTTGGGCGACAAATAAAGCTCCCGTTCCACTATTTTAAAGATAAAATTAATTATATTATGCTGGTAATAAAGTAAAATGGCAAATTTCATTTTGCGGAATATGTTCTTTGTCAGTTCTTGCAGTGCTAAATTTGTCATGATATATTCTTACAGAATCAATTGTCAGAATCAATCATGTCAATTGTTTTGTATCACTTCTTTCTAAGCATATGTCAAGGCCATCAATGATTGAGAAAGAGCGTAAATTCAATTTCAAAATCATGTCGTTCCTACTTTTTTTCATAATATATTTTAAGTTTGTTTGTGATTTGTTGTCTACAGAGTTTCTAATCCCCTTTCAAAATCCATTAGATTTTGTTCTACCATGTTCTTTCTCGTTTAGGGCAGACATATTCTGTTGCTTTGGTACCATAGCCATAGACCACTTTTCATGTAGTGGCAACACCAAGGTGTCACCACATTGAAGGTTTCACGATTACCGTTGTATGAAACATATTCTAACGTCTCTAAATTCTAAATTTCACTATTGTCATGCGTATATGTTGAATAGTAACTGCTGAAGTCGTTGCTAGAGGGCGTGCACGGTAGCTTTCACTTACTATAGACTTGACCAAATTTGAAACTGAGCCTGCAATATTTTCAATTTTTGCCGTTCTGGTTTACTTTAGATTTTCCACTTTTCTTTCTTCTTTTTAATTGGGTTTCCTTAATGTAGAGAATGCGAATGTATAATCTGGACATGCCTATTTAACCATAAAATTACTAGATTTAATGCATTGATTGACAAAACTCTCTGATAATGTACTACATAGTTTAAATCATTTAAATGATCAGAGATCATTCATTTGTATATCAGTAAACAGTGCATAGCAAATAATGATATATCGGATTTTTTTAAAATTGATATGCCACCATTAATGAATTTACATTAATGTGTTTTAAGTTATCTTTTAAGATATCTTTTTAATAAAGGCTACATTTTTTTTGTAGAAAAGAAATACAGTCTCACAATGAAAAATGTTTTTTTCTCAATAATTATGTATTTCATAGACTCGATTATACGCAATGGTAAAGTATTGACCTTAACATAATCAGCATGTTAAAATATGAAACATAACATATTATTTGTTAAGGTTTTTAAATTCTGTACATGATGATATGAAACTATAAAATATGTCTTATTCCAAGTTTAGGCAGAATTTCCATACCAGCATTATTATGTATACCAACATACTCGGCCTGCTTCTTAGACCACATAGCAATGGTATGACCGAATGTGAGAATAAGACTATTATGAAACAGAAATAGATTTTGCACTCGTATTATGGGCTCAAACAATAACAGAATAAATGAGTAAATAGTATAGAGTCTTGTCAGATGTAACGTGTGGTCAGGGGGGCCTTGATCTACACGGTTGTATTTTATAATCGATTCTAGCATTCAAGTGATTAAACAGTTATTTCTCTTGCATGATAGAATAAGGTTGCAAGTTTAATATTTGTCATCTCTACCCACTCTACAATTTGTGACTCTGTGTTTTATATTGTTGTTTGTTTATTGCCCTGATTTTGTTCTGTGCCCTTCTGGCAGTGAGTGTTCATGGCCGGGAACTGCAATTCATGAACGTCGCGTTTCTTTGTTGGTCTGTGTATTTGTAGTTGTAACCAGTACCGTCCATGAACATGCTCAACCAAACCAAGCCAGCAAATTTTCAATTTTGTCGTTGTGGCGTTCTTTGGGGATTTCGTTTTCTCTCTGTTTTACTTAAATGAGTAAGAATATATGATATAATTCAAATAGAATTTTTTTTCATCATTACTTTTTTGAGAACAATCACCTGCGGATGTTTCTTAGTTAAAGATGTCGCCATTTTTATTCTACTTAAGTCGGTGCTAGGGGGCTTGACGGTTACTTGCACCAAAAACACATAGTCACACAGAGCCTGCAACATTTTCAATTTCGTCATGTTCGGTTTTTAAGTTATTCCGTGTTTCTCTTTTCCATAGGACAAATGGTGTTTAAGCAAGCAGGTTTAAACAATATCATAACATTATTTAGTAAAGTGTTTAAGGCAAAGTGATATTTCTTAGGATTTTTACAAATACTTGAGAACAATATTAAGATAAATGTTAGATATGAAAAACGTGTAAATTTTAACCAAGTATCGCCATGTTACGTTGTTTATAAAAAAGGAGAACATGAATCAAATAACAAAAAATAACAGCAAAAAAACACCCGAGTTTCATTAGTCAACAACATTAACTATTCATACCGTGAACCACTTCCGGTTTACCACCTACACACACACTTAAAGAAAGCGGTCAGTTAAGCTTATTTGAATATGTAAATTATGATGGTTAACCATTGCATTTATAATCATTGTTGTTTATCGGTAAAGTGACAAAAATGTCATGTTAAAATAAGGTTTTTGTATGAGACTGTATAGGAATGCTGTACATTTTACTACATTTTACGTAGTTTGTTAATTCATTTGAAATTGATGCAAAGCAATGCAAAAATGGAAATATTTACCATCTTGGTTTTTAGCAGCACTTTAGAACATAATAGGTAACACGGATTAGGTCGGTGCGGCTTTGAATCCAATGATGGC